TGGAGCCAGCTTGTGGCGGTGGGTGACATTGGCTACACTAGAAAGACAGGATGGGTCTGAGAGCCCACTGGAGACCAGTGGTACCCCAGCAAACTGTGGTGGCACACGCCTTTGGTCCCAGCCCCCAGGAGGCAGAGACAGGCAGATCTCTGAGTTCAAGGCCAGCCTGGTCTACATAGTGAGTTCCAGGACAGCTGGGGCTTTCTCAAAAGATCCCCCCCCCCGGCCCCCCAGCCCACACACACACAAAAAGAACTTAGAAGCCAGGGCCTGGCCTGAGGTGGGACCCGAGTAGCTGCTCCCTCAGTGTATAGTTGGAACTGCAGAGCACCTGCCTCCCTGTGACACATGTCCAGCAGTGGAGATTTGGTTCAGATGGTGGTGACCTTGGTCCTGTCCACGTGCCCTAGTCCAATGGCAGACTTTTGCCCTCTGACATGCCAGCCTGCTTCAGAGGGATCTGGAATGCAATGAAGGTGCCAACAGTTGAAGTATCCCTCAGGACTAGTCTCTGTACTCCTGGGGGCACCTGGCCCACCAGGTCTGTGTTGGTGAACACCAGCTTCCTGTCCCATGCCTTCCCTGAGATCTGTCTTCAGTACTTGGCACGTCTACATATGCTTGGCTATGAATCCTGTGTCCTGGTCAGGTGGAAGAAGGGCTAGGGATAGGGCCCAGGGCAGCTAGCTTTTTCTTTTTCCTCCAGCTTTGTCTCACCCTCTGGACAGGTACCTTGGCTTCAGCGGGTCACCACAGCGGTTACCTCTTTCTTCTGTTTCTTTTTCTTCTTTCCCCTTCCTCATGAGTCACTAGGGCCCATTAATGTGGTGTGGTGAGGGAAGGTAGCAGGTCAATGTTGGGGTATTTGCTGCAGGAGCCATATGTCAGGCATGCTTACACCACAGGGAATGTGTGTTGTCTAGAGGAAAAGTGTATGTGCTATGAAGGGATCCCACCAGAAAAACAGGAACTCTTATAGGAAAACTAGTGGCTAATAACCTGCCTCTGGGGACCAGGCTTTGTGCTCACGGGTGGGGGTGCACTGATGAACACATGGGTGGTAAGCGGGTGGGTGGGTGGATGGATGAATGGATGGATGGGTGAGGGATGATAGATGGGTCAGTGGATGAATGGGTAAATGGATGGGTGATGGATAGATGGGTGGATGGGTGGTTGGTTGGATGGACGGATGGGTAGGAGGCTGAGTCAGTGCATTTAAGGATAAAAGAATGGGTTGACGGATGTTTTGGGGGCAGATGATGGGTAGGTGAATGGGTGGATGCATGGTTGGGTAGATGGATAGATGGATTTGGAGTCACATGGGCTGTGGGATGGGGTTCTCTGCTATTTATCTGTGCACACTTGGAGAGAGTGACCCCCCGCGCCCCACTTAGGGAACAGCCTGTGAGGTGCCTTGCACTCTGTTTGCCTAGCTGGCTGGTTGGGATTCTGGGTCTGAGTGTCTTCTGCCAGCTGGCCTGGTAGCTTGAAGCCTCCTGCCCAGGCTTAGCTGTCCCCAGATGGCCCTGTAAGCCCTTGAGCCACCTCGTCCCTCACCTTCTCATTTCCCAGCAGCAGAATGGGTGACACCTCCAGCGCAGGCTGCAACTGCGAGTTTCAGATCTGTGCTTATGTTGGAGCGTGGGCAGTGAGGTGAGCACCAGGCACACAGGTTTGAGTTCTGAGAGTGATGTTTTGGTGCTCGGGGGACCTTGTACCCAAGGTCACAAGTGGGGGGAAGGGCACAGATAGTTCCTAGGGTGAGGTCATTTTGGGGGTGCATCCACTTCACCCAAGTGCCCCTGTCTCTGGAGAAGCAGCTAGTGAGGTGCTCACATGGGGTTCCAGTTGTGGGCATTGTGGGGGATCCAGGCGGAGGAGAGTGATGTCAGTGTTGGTGACTGTGAGGTAATGACGGGACAGGGCCCACTTGGGGTCAGTCGCCACCTCCAGCTATTGAGGGTTGGAGTTACCTTTATTTTTTATTTTATTTTATGTATATGAGTGTATTGCCTACATGCATGTACCTGTACCCATGTTGTGCAATGCCTGTGGAGGATAGAAGAGGGTGTTGGATCCCCTGGAACTGGAGTTTCGGACAGCTGTCAGCTTCCATGTGGATGCTGGGAACAAAACCTGGGTCCTCTGCCAGAGCAGCCAGCGCTCTTAATGACTGAGCCATCTCTAGTCCCTTTTATTTTATGTTTGAAACAGGGTCTCCCTGTAGCCCCAGCTGTCCTGGCACGTGCTATGTAGGCTAGGCTGGCCTTGATCTCCCACAGAGGTCTGACTGCCTCCCCCTTGGAGTGCCAGGATTAAAGGTGTGGGCCACCACACAGGACCTGGAGTTCCTTTTTAAAGTCCACTGTACCACCATTTCTAGAAGATTCCAGCCTTCCAGGATATGGATCTTTTCTGTGGACCCAGCATAGGCAGGGTACAGATCAGGCCTGGGGCCCTCACCTCTGCTGGTACAGGCTGTGGTGCCAGCCCTGGGCATCAGTGTCACTGGCTACTGCTGTAAACATCTCCACGTACCTCAGAATCTCCTGTTTCCTTTGCCCCATGCTCCCACTTGTGGCACCTGTGTATCTGCTGGGCTCAGTAGAACTGTGGTTGCTGCTCTTTCACAACAGCTGCTGTGCCACTTGAGGCAGAGCTGGGAACCTTGGGTCATTTGAACTGTTGGGCAGGCCACCTAGTGTTGAGCTGGCCGGTCATGGCCTCTGGGAACATGGGTCCCCTCCAATCAAGTCGCTCTTGTGGAGCACAATCACACTCTTGTTTCTGAGTGTCCTGGGACCCTCCTGGCCTCTTGAGAAACTGAAAGCAGCTGACAGTATGTGTGTGGCTCTGGGGCTCCCGGCTCATCACAAGATTGACTTTGTGTGTTGAACACCCTCCATTCACAGCCAGCCTTCATCCCACTGTCTGTCCATACCTGCATTCCTCAGGCTGTGTAACAGTGTAATGAGTGACATCTGTCACCCATTCAGAGTGGCTCCTCACCAGTGACCCAGTTCTTCCTAGGAGCCCAAAGGGACCAATGTCCTGGCTGGGGCCCAGATAGACACATGGGCTCACAGGGTCAAGTGTGCAAAGAGAAGGCCTGGAGACACCTCTGGGGTCCGGGGACCTGGACCCTGGCTCCACTGGGAAGCTAGAGCTGGGTGAGTGGGAGGGAGTTCCTGGCTGGTGCCTGGCGCCTTCCCAGACTATCCTCCACTTATCTGAACACTTAACATTTGTAACACTCTGTATTTGATACTAAGTGTCAAGGTCTTATTATACTAAGTTTGGGGAGGCTGGGTGCCTGAGGTGAGCCATGTGACCCAGCACTCAGGAGACAGATGAGGTGGAGAGGTCAAGGCCAGAGGGCTGCATAGTGAGACCCTGTCTCTAAAAATGTCTGGGGTCAGGCATGGGGTCACAGGCCTTTAATCCCAGCACTTGGAAGCAGAGGCGGCAGATCTCTGAGATCCATGCTAGCCAGGGCTGCACAGCAAGACACTGTCTCAAAAAAACAAAAACCCCTGAAAAAAATCTAGGGAGGGGGTGGGGGCGGAATGCAGTGGTATAGTGCTTGCCTAGCATTCCAGAGGCCCTCAGTTTAATCCCCAGTACCACAGAAAGGGAAAAAGTGAAAAAGTTCTTTTTGGCCTCGGGATGACTCAGTAAAGGGCTGCCTTTCAAAGGCAAGGCCTGAGTTGGTTCGATCTATAGAACCCAGCTTCAGAGCAGTGGTGGGTGGTGGTGCACACTTGTGATCCCTGTGCTGGGCAGATGGAGACAGGAGGATCCCTGGGGCTTGGTGGTCAGCCAGTCTGTCCTAACTGGTGAGCTCCAGGTTGGCAAGAGACGCTTTTTGGAAGAAAGTGGATGGTATTCCTGAGGATGACACCCAAGATAGATTGTCCTCTGGCCTCCAGGAACATGCACCCATGTTAAAAAAAAAATTAAGGCCAGGCTTGGTGACGCACACCTTTAATTCCAGCAAAGGCAGGTGGATCTCTGCGAGTTCCAGGCCAGCTAGGGCTACAGGGAGACCCTGTCTCCAAATAACCAAAAATAAATAAATTAATTTATTAATAAATAAATAAATAAATAAAGGTGGGCAGGGAGGTGGCTTGGTGGATAAAGCACTTGCTGTGCAATCTTGAGGACAGGAGTTCAGATCCTAGAACCTCTGCTGAAGATGGGCAGGCGTGGTGTCTTGCCTGTAATCCAGTGCTGGGCAAGCTGGCTGGCTTTGTGTACAGTTGGGAGACTGTCTAGAGCCACCTGATATTTCAGGACACAGTGTCAGGAGGGCATGTATGCTGCAGGTACCCTGTCACCATCCTCAGCTGGCCATGCACTTGTCTCTCTGGCCTTCCTTGAGTGCCCCCTCCCGTCCCCTCCCACCCCCTATGTATGTTGAAACTGAGCCTGCTTTGACTGAGGACTTGGAAAACAGAAGGGGTTCCGCTATCGAGTAGGGAAAGACAGGGAGAAAGGTCTCCCATCAAGGACCTCTGGTAGTTTGGCCAAGGAGGCAGGAGGACAGGTGAAGGGACCAGCCCTGGGTGCCACATCCCTTGGAGGCTCAGCCCTGCTCCCAGCTGACCCAGCAGGCCTGTGTGTGCTTAGTACTTGCCCAGAGCCTTGAGTTCCCCTCTTGCAACTCTGAAGCATGGGTTAGCTAGGTGTGTGATGTTTTCTCCATCCCCAGCGACCCCAGAGCTCACGTGGTAGGGGAGCAGGTGGGCAGCACATGCACAGTGGTTTTGAATAAACAACTGGGATGGGGTAGGGTGGGGTGGGGAGGTCAGGGAAGACCTCCCTGTGGAGGGGACAGTACTTGGAGCTGGCTAGATATCCAGGGGAAGAGGGAGGGGTCGGAGGAGCCATGGGTGTCACTGCACTAAGGAGAATGCCACGATTGTTCTTGGTCCCTAGAAGCATCCAGAAGCCACTGCAGCCTCCTCCTTGGTGGTTAGCACCATTCAGTTCCTTCATCCATGCTGACTGGATCCCTGCCTTTCTCCCTACAGTGCACCGTGCAGGTGAAGTTGGAGCTGGGGCACCGTGCCCAGCTGCGTAAGAAGCCCACGACAGAGGGCTTCACCCACGACTGGATGGTGTTTGTACGTGGCCCTGAGCAGTGTGACATTCAGCACTTCGTGGAGAAGGTCATCTTCCGGCTGCATGACAGCTTCCCCAAGCCCAAGCGCGGTGAGTGGGCAGCTGATCACCTGCTGCTAGCCCTGCCTCTGTCCCTGCTCCCCACGGCCGCACACACCCTGGGAACACACCCTGGGATCTAATGGTGCTCAGCAGAGCTGAGGTAGTGGGGACGGCAGGCACTGGGAACTCCTGGGAGGAGGAAGCTTCCCAGATCAGAGTGATTGGGATGATGGGTTAAGAACTCAGACCAGGGGCTGGAGAGATGGCTCAGTGGTAGAGAGCACAGGTTGTTCTTGCAGAAGACCTGGGTTCGAATCCCAGCACCCACATGGCAGCTAACAACTGTCCATAATTCCAGTCCCAGGGGATCCAACAGCCTCTTCTGACTGCCACAGGCATTGCATGACACGGGTGCACTGACCTACATGCAGGCAATGCACGCATACACATAAAATTAAAAAAATAAAAGAACTCAGACTACTTGAGGTGGGAAGATGGGCTCCTGTCACCCCAGTTTCCTTGAGTGATAGGTTATAGGCAATGTGGATGCCCTGTTGGTGTGCTCCTCTCATCCCTACCTACAGCAGGAGTAGCCTCCCTGGGGGACATAATTTTGAGATTTGTGATAACTGGGGACTTCCTGTGGGATAGACCCCTGGCAGCCTCAGCAGCAGAGAGAGGCAGTTGGTGGGTCCCTTCTGAGCTATGTGTGGTCACAGCCACTTCCTCACTGCCAGTCTTGGACCACAGAGCTAGTCGGAGCTTTCATTCTTGTCCTGCGCTGGTGATGAAACACCAGGGCCTTGCACATCCTAGGCAGGCACTCACCAGTGGGCCACACCTACAACTCCTCTTTGCCAGGGGCTCTGTCTCTGAGCCACATTCCTACCACCTTACTAGGGGATCCTAGGCTGTGTTGAGCTGCTCAGTCCCCAGGCAGTTCTATTCGCTTGGGTGTGTTGGTTCTGTAAAGAGTGCTTCCTGCCGGAAGGGTCAACCCCTGCTTGCAATGTGAGCTAGAGCTCATACATGCTTACAGTCGCTTTCAGTGGGGTGGGGGTGGATGAAAGCTGTGTACTTCGTTTTTGGTCTTTTTGAGACAGGGTCTCCCTGTAGCTGGCCTAGAATTCACTATGTAGACCAGGCTGGCCTTGAACTCACAGAAATCCACCTGCCTCTGCCTCCTGAGTACTGGGACTAAAGGCATGGGACATCATGCCCAGTGAGCTGTGTACTTTTTAGAAAAGTATTTATTATTTTATTTTAATCTATGTGAGTGCATTGCCTGGTAAGTGCACCCTTGTTGTACAGTGTCCACGGAGATCAGAGGAGGGCATTGGATCCCTAGGAACTGGAGTTACAAACAGTTGTTAGCTGCCATGTGGGTGCTGGGAACCTGGGTCCTCTGCAGTGCTTGTAATCACTGAGCCATTTCTCTAGCCCCTCCGTGTACTTTATTAATGGCAGCTGTGGTTTCTTTTTTTCCCTTGACTTTGTCATTTACCCCTTCCTAAGTCCTCCCTTTCTCTCCTATTTCTCTTTGCTTCCATCTCTTCATGCTCCTATCCATTGATCTGTCTAGTCACCCTTTCACACTCCCTCACATCCATCCATCCACCCACCCACCCATCCATCCACTCATCCATCCACCTATCTGCCCACTGCTGGCCCACCTAACTTATCCACCCACCATCCATCTACCCATCCGTCTACTACCCACCCACCTATCTATCCACCCACCATCCATCTGTCCATCCATCATCTATCTTCCACCCACCCAGCTGTCTTAACTTCTCTCCCTCCCTTCTCTCCCTTCCTTCCTCCCTGGTCTTGGATATGGTGATCTGGTTTCCATCCACAGTGACTGTTCCAGAGCATTTGTTAGGAAGAACACTCGGTTTACTATCTCTTCCTACTGGGCTCCACACAGAGAGGCAGTGCTTCATCTTCCCCTTGTCCTGGACAGATAGGATTATGGCTCTGAAGCCAGGCCCTTCTTGTGCTCCGCAGCAGGCTCAGCTAACTGCCATGGTGCCATGGTCCTTCCCAGACTCAAGACACTGAGGCAGGAGGATGAATTAATGGCCAGCCTATACTGCATGTTGAGACCTTATGTAGCCAACTGGGTTCAAGGGTTCTAGCAAGTTCAAGGGCAGCCTTAAATCCATAATCCCCCTGCGTCAACCAGACTCACAGGCATGCGTTTGTGTCTTGCTGTATCCCTGGTGGGACCCTGTGGCCCCACCCAGAGCTATGCTGGATGCCTGGCTTCTCCCAGAGTCTGATTCCCCACTGAGGAAGCCAGGATCTGTGGCAGGGACCCATCTGTCCTGCAGCTCTCTGCAGCCTGTGTCACTGATAAGGTTGTGAAACAATCCTGATCTTCACCCAGGCAGGAGGTAGACGTTGGGGCTGGCAGCAGCTCTGACTAGATCCTGGCTGAGAGTGACTCTGGTTACATTCTCATCCCTATCCCCAGCTCTAGGAGGCCAGTGGAGGTTCTTTTCAGTTTGTTTGGTTTTGGTCTTTTTGAGACTGGATCTCCCTGTAGCCCCAGATGGCCTGGAACTCACTATGTAGACCAGGGTGGCCTTGAACTCACAGAGATCTGCTTGCCTCTGCCTCTCAAGTGCTGGGATTAAAGACATGTGCCACAGCACTCAGCCTTTTGGTTTTTAAGGTGAGGTCTGCTTCTGTAGCCCAGGCTCCCCTCAAATTTGTGATCTTTGGCCTTAGCTTCTTGAGTGCTGGTGTCCCAGGCCTCCTATACCTGTGATGTTCTGAGTGATGTCACTCCTCCTCACTGTGCATCTTGGTTCTTGTCTGTCATTTCCTTCATTCTGTGGAGTGCAGCCTCACTCCCCCGATCTCCCCTCTTAATTAGGCCCGGCCCCTTTCCAGACCTGTGTTATGTCATTCCCCTTCTTTCCAGGGAGGATTGGGAGCGTTTCCCTCCTGTTGGAGCTCCTTGCTGTCTTACAGAAGAGACTTCTGGAACATTCTTGGTGAGGCTGATTAGGTGGCTTTTTCTAAGCGACTGCAGTATGACAGGGTGCAGATCTGGCTGTTGGAAATGCCACTCCTGTCCTGTCACACTCAGCTAGCTGAGTAGGGGTCTCATGATTTTTTTTGTGTGTGTGTGTGTTTTTTTTTAATTGGTTTCCCTTTTTTAATATTTTGTTATTATTTTATGTGTATGAATGTTTGCCTGCATGTATGTAAGTGCACCCATGTCAAGCAATTCCCACAACAGAGACCAGAAGAGAGGTCCAGATCCCTTGGAACTAGAGTTATGGACAGTTAACCCTCTTGTGGCTATGGGGAACAGAACCTAGGTCCTCTGCAAGGGGAGCCAGTGCTCTTAACTGCTGATCCCCCATCCAGCGCCGTAGTTTGTTTTCTTGAGATCAGGCTGGTCTCAGACTTGCTGTATAGCTGAGGATGACCTTGAACTTCCTGATCCTTCTGCCTCTACTCTCTCAAGTGTTGGGATGACCAGCACTCAGCTAAAGCCTTTTGATTGCTGGAGATTGAACCCAGGGCCTTGTGCTTCCCAAGCAAACTCTACAACTGAGCTGTGTTAGCCCTCTCTGATTCCTTTTTGAAGTGGATGTTCTATACCATGAGCCCCTCCTCTGCAGCCACCAATGCTTATCCCTGACATCATTAGCTCCAGGACACTCCTGTCACCCCACATGAGCTGGAACTGTGGCCCTGTCATGCCCACTCTGTCTGACCACCATGCCTTCATGCCGTGACTGCCCCAATGCCTGTTGGGCCCTTGTTGCAGCGGCTTGTGGGAGGTCTGCAGGCCCTGCATTGCATGCTCTCCCTCATGCCCACACTGTTTCCCACTGAAGTTATGTTTTGCTTTTGTTTTGTTTTAATTTCTGGCTGCGTGTGGTGGCACACACCTTAAATCCCAGCACTGAGGAAGCAGAGACAGGTGGATCTCTGTGAGATGGAGGTCAGCCTGGGCTACATAGTGATTTCTAGGGTAGCTGGTACTGCTATAGGGAGATGCTCTCTCAAACAAATTTCTGTGAAGTTTTTATTATAGTTTACTTTATGAGTGAGTGAGTGTGTGTGTGTGTGTGTGTGTGTGTGTGTGTGTGTGTGAGGCATACCTGCGCTACAGTGCTCAAGTGGAGGTCAGAGGACAACTTGGAGGAGTTGATTCTTGTATGGAGATCAGACTTGGGTCATGGCTTGACAGGAAGTGACTTTACCTATTGAGCCCTCTTGTCAGCCCCAAAAGTCATTTCCCTTTGACTCTTGATTTTGCCCAGTGGGGCAGAGGGGTGCCCTAGGAAGCCTCTCTGTCCGTGACTGACCATCCATCTATGGAGGAACATGAGGCCCTTGGGGGAGAAGCTGAGACCCATAGGAGGGTCCCTTCCCTTCAGGGAATGCACTGAGATATGCAGAGCTGCCCAATGCCTACACCTTGCTGGGGACTCAGTTGAACAGCACTTAGATGCATAGTCTGTTGGGCTCTAACACAGTGGATGGGACGGAGCCAGGATTGGTAGAGGTGCACGGTGAACGACATGGGCTGGCCAGAGGGGGAGGGGCACAGAGCTGGGCTCCCACAGGGAGGATGTGACCTATGGTCACTCAGTGGGGCTAGGTTCTTGGAACCAGGCCCTGAGTTGGAGCGTGGAGAACCTGCTTAGCCTTCGAGGAGCCAGGGGTGGTCCTGGGTGGTGGGGAGCCATCGGGGGACATCATGGGGAGCCAGGCTTGGGATTTAATCCCAGTTGCCAGGTAGAAGCTACCAGCAGGAGCATGGGCCCATGGCTTCATGGCCCACCTGTGGCTTGTGCTGAACTGGGGGCTGCATCCCAAGCAGTTGGCAAGTTTGTACTGAAAGAGCAGACAGGTGACCTTGGGTCCCTGGGGTATGGTGGGGAGCCAGGTTGACTATGGATACTGGGAGCAGCAGTTGAGTGCATTAAAGGCCAAGGCCCCTCCAACAGGGTGTTTGCATGGGGAGCAAGAGGGAGAATCATCAGAACCAAGATTTAAGCCACCTATTCTCTTCTGAGGCCATGGGCAGGGCTACACTAGTGCCCTCAGCTGGAGGATGCCATGTCCATCCAGGAAGAAGCCACTCCAGTCAGGAGAGTCTCTGACTGTGCACATGGTATATGGGATGAGTGGGAGGTGAGTGAGCAGGTGCCAGTGTGGCTTTGTCACCACAGTGACTCACATGCTGACCCTGATATAGGTGATGGTGGCCAGAGTATCCCAGGGAAGTGCTGGCATGGGCCTGAACAGGCTGTGCTGTAGGGCAGGGACAGCCAGCAGCTGGAGGGGACAATTGCATCCCTGGCTCTGAGGGATGGTGGGCCAGCAGCAGGGGAAGTAAGGAGGGAGGTCTAAAGAATCCCTGGACGCCTCTCGCTTCACACAGCTTGGCCCCACCCCTGCAGTTGGTAGCCTGGGTCCCTTAGAGAGCTGGCCACCTGACCTTGTCTTCCAGAGCCCCCATGTCTGCAGGTCACCTGCCAGGCTCGTATCTATAGTCACACAAGATGTGCAAGATTAGTGTCTGAGGGTCCTTTCCTCCCTTTTTAGACAGGGTCTCACTGTGTAGCCCCAGCTGATCTGGAACTCATTATGTAGATCAGGCTAACTTCAAACTCAAAAAGATCCTTCTGACTCTGCCTCCTGAGTGCTGGGACTAAAGGTGTGTCCACCAGGCCTGGCTATTCCTGCTCTCTTAGCTGTGTGGACACTTGGGGGATGTTAAGGGCAGCTTCGCTTCTGACTGTTGAAGCGTGTAGGTGGTTGTGGTGTCTTGAGTAACTGGGGAGTGCCTGTTAGGTCCTCAGAGAGCCCCTCGCTCAGCACTGTTTGCTGGATCGGTACAGCCCTGTGGGGGCATGTTTTACTGACCCGCTCAGTCCTCCGAGCCAGTGGCAGGCTCCCCATGTCCTTCCTGCTGACACGGTGGGGCTCCTTGCCTTCTCCTCCTGACCCCACTGTACCTGTCTCTTCCCAGGAGCCCTGGCCTGGAGCTGCACCGTCCCCAGGAGCCAGGCCTCCTGAAGAGCAGCAGCCTTGGGGATGGGCAGAGAGGTTCTGACGCAGGCTTTCCCCTTTCTCTGCAGTGTGCAAGGAGCCCCCCTACAAAGTGGAGGAGTCAGGCTATGCTGGCTTCATCATGCTTATTGAAGTGTACTTCAAAAACAAGGTAAGATGGTGCCAAGCGGGCAAGACGTGGGCTTTCAGGGGCCTGGGTGGGGCAGGGACCACCCCCAGTAGTGCACGGGAGAGGGACTAGGGGCTGAGTGCAGGGGCCATGCTGTCACCCCAGCTCAGAAGCTGAAGCAGAGGACCTGAGGTCCATATTAGCCCTGTCTGCACATGGAGACTCTGACAGAAAGAAAACTAGAAATAAAAAAAAGGAGGTAGAGCCAGGTAATGATGGTATGAGCTCAGGTGTGCTTCCCAAAGAGCAGGTGCTGTCTCAGGCAGATGGCACATGTGGGCTTCTGGGCCACAGCAGGAGCATAGCTGAGGTTGCAGGGGGTCTCTCTGCACCCTCAGTGAGCAAGTGACCAGGGACAACACAGCTGCCCTTTCTGCCCTAGCCCAGGGGATTGTTCTCTGCTCAGTGTGTGGCCTTGGGGTGTAGGTGCAGTGGAGTCCAGTCTCCTTGGCAGCTGACCTGCCTTGGGTGATGGACTCACTGCCCTGGAGGCCAAAGGGCTGTGTAGGGTCCCCTGAGTTCAGGGGCTCTGTCCCTGGTAATGTGGATTCCTCCCTGTCTGGCATGTAGGCTGGCTGGGCTCTGGCTCCTTGGGTCCTGGTTCTAGCCCCGGACTTGGCTGGCCTCACTGTGGAGTCCCAGCAGGGCTGGGGAGACCAGCTCAGTCTCTGTTCCAAGGAGGGTGCTTGGTGCCCTGGGCTTCGCCACCCTCCAGGGCACCTTTGTTGTTTGCATTAGAGAAGCTGTGTGGTGCTCATGCAAGGGCAGCAGAAGGCATGGCACTCCAGAAACGGATGGGGTTTGGTTACCACCCAGATCAGACAGCCCCGATGTGACAGTAAGCCATTGGTGCTCAGGGAGGCTATAACTTCCTGTGTTCCCCCAGCCTGTGCCGCTGGCTCATAGCAGGCCCTGCTGGAACCCACTGCTCTGTCCCAGCCTGGTGGTGCCAGGGTTGTCGGAGGACAGTGGTATGGCTTTTCAAGGCTGCAGTCAGGCCTAATGTCCCTGTGCCCCTCCACACTGCTTGGAACCTGGAGACCCCGCTTTCAGTGCAGCGTGAAGCAGGAGCCTCTGCTGTCTGTGCACCCAGGGGTGGGGACAATGTGGAGCCCCTAGAATTCGGGACACCAGGTCAGTGGCCAGGGTGGTGGTGGCTCCCCTCCCTCCCACACCTGTTTTCATGGTCTATGAGGTGGTCCTGGGATGGGTCTGCATCCACATCCTGTCCTGCACATTGTGCTGAGGGTCGCTGGGCACTGTGTGGAGGAAGGGCCACACTTCTGGCTTTACATATTTACCTTGGTAGTGGTGAGGATTGATCAAGGGTCTGGGCATGCTAGGCAGGCAGCACCCCAGCATGTTCCTGACCTTTAGAAAGCTGAGTTGTGCCCTTGCATTGTGGGTGGCACCTAGTCACAGGATGGTGTGGGCAGGCTGTGCTGTGTGCTTGGCCTGTGCCTCTTATCCTTCTCAGTGAGGGAGGGGCCCCAGGCCTCCAGCTGTTCTTGTGTGGAAAAGCTGGGATGAGCAGGAGCCACTGGGTCCCTGGGGTGGCTCTGGGGTAAGTGTGCTTGGCCTAGTTCATCACAGGATCCCCTTACATGGTGAGGTTCTGTTGAGATTGTGGAGCGTTTGCTGGGTCTAAAGAAGAAAAGCTGGGGTTGGAGAGCTGGCTCAGTAGTTAAGAGCACTGTCTGCTCTTGCAGAGGACCCAGGTTCAATTCTCAGCATCCACATGGTGGCTAACTGTAACTCCAGTTCCAGAGGATCTGACGCCCTCTTCTGGCCTCCTCGAACACTGCATGCATGGGATGCATTTACATACATGTAGGCAAAATACTCATACACATAAAATAAAAATAAATACCTAACCCAGGATGTGGTGCACACCTTTAGTCCCAGCACTTGGGAGGCAGAGGCAGGTGAATCTTTGTGAGTTCAAGATCAGCCTGGTCTACATGGTAAGTTCCAGGCCAGCTGGGGCTACAGGGAGACCCTGTCTCAAAAAGATCAAAAGATAAAAAAACTAAAAAAAAAAATAAACACATAAAAAATTAAGGAAGACTTGCCTGCCTGGTGTGCTGGCATCCCCCAAGGCTGTGAACGAGTGACTGGCTCTGTCCTGGCCTGTACCCTGTCCTCTGGGACTGTGTCCCCCTGGGACCTGGGAGTGAGTCCTCTGCAGGGAGGTTCCAGGCCATGATCCCCTAAGGTGCCCCTACCCTGTGCAGAACTCTGATCTTGTCACTTAGGCTACAAATACCAGAGCTCTGGGGACACAGCATGGAGGACTGTAGTAACCCCACAGGCTCTAGGTGTCCACTGGGGATGCTTGTCAAGGAATGGACTCTGGGATGCCAAAGGGCTCGCTCACCTGAACTGGGAAGACCAAACAGGACCAAGTGGTGTGAGGTGGGCCAGGCCTGCTTAATTCACATCGTCCCCTGGTCAAGGGAAGGTGTGTGGTGACAGTTTCTCTAGAGCCATGTATACTGGGGTGTGGGTGCTTGGGGTTTGGCTGTGGATGTTCAGTCAATAACAATGGTATGGTCAATGACACTGAGGTCACTTTGGCTCTTAGACCATTGCTCTACTGCACTGGGGCTGCTGACTTGTATGGCCCTCAGTCAGATGACCCAGTCAGTCACTCACTCAGCAGAATCTGGAGAGGGGATGAGGCTCAGGGTGGCTATGCCCCAGAGTACAGTCCTGTTGTTTTAGCAGTAGGAGACTAGCCAGGGTGGGCCCAGCTTCAGCAACAAAAACAGCCCAGGGTCAGGTGACATACTTCTCAGATGTCTGGAGCTATGGGTGACTTCTCAGGGCCTCAGTTTTTTAGACTGTAAGGTGGACTTGGAAGTTTCCCAGTGGCAGTGGTCAAGGGCCTCTTGCTCTATGGCGTGTGCCACACTCTGTTCATGAGTATCTGCTATTGTTAGAGTCTTGCTTCTTTCTGATCAGCTGGACCCTATAGAGAACGCTTGGGGCCTCCATAGATGAGGCTCTGGCTATGGCTTGGCTTCTTGGAGATGGAGGTGGATCTGTGATCAGACTGAGGTGAATGTCCAGAACCCCACTGGATCTCAGGAGCTGACCTGACGTGACAGCTGGGTGCTCGCTTTCAAACATACAGCCCCTAGCTGGGTATGGTGGTGCAGATTTTTAATCCCAGCACTTGGGAGGCAGAGACAGGTAGATCTCTATGAAATAGAGGCCACCTTGGTCTACATAGCAGTTTCCAGGCCAGCTGGGGCTACAGGGAGATCCTGTCTCAATAAATCAAATCAAATCAATCAATCAAGCAATCTACCAAAACCCACAGCCTCTGTAAAAAGAATTTTTCTTCTTTTAAAAAAGTTTGTATTCATTTGTGTGTGTATGCCAATTCTCCTTCCACCATGTGGGTGCTGGGTCTTGAACTCAGATTGTCAGGCTTGGCAGGCAAGTGCCTTAAACCACAGCGCTGTATTTTTTTGTGTGTGTGATGGGGTTTCGCTGTGTTGCTGTGGCCAGCCTGGAACTTGCTATGTAGCCCAGGCTGGCCTTGAACTCACAGAAATCCTCCTGCCTCTGCCTCCCTAGTGCACCACCGTGCCTGGCTTCACACACACACACACACACACACACACATAAATATTATATATACATTTTATTGCTTCTATTTATTTTGGGTGCATGTGTGCACTGGCCACTGCACTGGTGGTCAGAAGACAGCTTGTGGGAGTCTGCGTTCACCATCCATCCTGTGGGTCCCCAGGATGGAACTCAGGTTCAGGCTTGGCAGTAAGACCCTTTACTTGCTGAACTCTCTCTCTGGCCCACCCCCCAACCCCCTTAGCTCCAGCTGGCCTGGAACTCACTGTGTAGACTAGACTGGCCTTGAACTCACAGAGATCTGCCTGCCTCTGCCACTCAAGTGCTGGGATTAAAGGCGTGCACCACCACACCCAGCCACTTTATTCTTTTTTACAGTACAGGATCTCAGCCCAGAGAAGGGGGGCTTCCCACCTCAGTTTACCTTACCAGAACCACCCACAGGGGGTCCACAGGGGTGCTCAGAGGCCTGGCTCATTCCCAGTCTCATCAAAGTTGCAGCTGAGATTAGCCATCATAGCCTGAATCTGCTTTACTGAGTTCCTGTGTGGGTGTGCACATGATGTCACTGCAATCCATTTGTCTCACACTCTTCCCAGTTTAAGTACCTTTCTCCTTCTTGTGTCCTAGCTCTGCGCTCTTCCAGTACCTATCAGAGTGGGTGTCCTTGCCTTGCTCCTGGTCTTAGAGGGAGTCCTCCAGTCTTACCATGGAGAGGGCCATCACCTGTGGGTTGTTGCATGTGGCTGTTACAGGGTTAAGGACACCTCTCTTTACTTGCAGCACATCTTTGGGGTTCACAGTCTCCACTCTGTAGGTGTCTAGCACAGCACTCATGATGTGAGTCCAGAATAGAGCTCTTCTGTAATAGATGCAGGGGCTTAAGCAGCTTCTCTGTTAGACCCAGGATGGAAAGCAGACATCACAACAGACAGGGTTTGGGAGGCTATGCCAGGACTGGGGAGTGACCAGAGGCCTGCTTCCTCCTGTGTCGCACCTTTCAGCCCCAGGTTTCCGGGTGCTTTTCTGTTTTTTTTGAGGAGGTGGGTGGCTGGTTTGGTTCATTGCTTCTCTCTAGAGCTTTGTTCCTCCCTTTCTTTGCTACAGAATCTTTTGCACGTGCTGTTCAATCCCGTCTCCTAGTGTCCCGCTCAGAGTGTTTGCATCTGTGAAATGGCAAGCTGTGGGATTCTTGGCAGTGTTTTTTTTTGTTTTGATGTCCCCGCAGTATACTTTTGTCTTTGGATGCTCTGAAGGGGTTTTCAGTGAAGCCCTATGATCTTGGACTCCTGTCTCTGTGACAGGGTCTCTGTCTAGCCCAGGCTGGCCTGGAACTGGCTGTCCTGCCTCAACCTCCCTGTGTTGGGGTCATAGGGGTGTGCCTG